TGTGTGATAGATTGTCGATAGATGACCAACTGTACACAAAATATAATTGAAAGCCAGATTGTAGGTTTTCCTTTGACGACACTCATATCTTCTCTCATTCCACGTGACCGGTACACATTAAACGGGTTGTGTGTTTTGTCAATGAATTAATTCCGTTCTGGATTTTCTATTTCCTTCGCTTTGATTAGTCTACCTTTTATTGGACCAGTTGCAGAATTAATTGCCCATTGGTTACGTCATCAAGGTCAAGTTAAAGAATTTAGTCAAGAAAACACAAATATTCCGGATAATGAATGGTTTGGGTTATTCTTTGGTGACAAATCAGAAATACAACATTTCTACGATTATATAACGAAACTAAACATACAATCCTAATGGCTGTTACCGGGCGGGGGAAATCAACATTCTCAATTGCTGCTATGTTAACTGCAATTTTAGAAGACTTACCATCTTTCCAATTAATTAACGTTCCTAATGGGACTCGTAAGCAGATTAACAAGATTATGATGATGTTCCCTCGAAAAGTATTAGTAAATGAATATTCAATCCTTTTATGATCAATATTAATGATTTCTTATCACAAAAACCCATCATACTGGTAAATTTAAGTTCCAGATCCTCAAAAAAGGCGAACGAATTAACTGATCTTTACATCATGACCTATGGTCATGCATTTACCAGATTTATTGATAATGAATTTAAAACTCTTATTTCATCACCTTTAATAGTGTATGATGAGTTTCATGAGCGTAATCCTGATATGAGATCATTAATTGCGGTCATAAAAGAAATTGATGAATTGAATAATAAACCATTCTTTTATCTGCAACACCCATGAATCTGGGAATTTGATACAACCAAACACTTTCACTGCGCCATGTCAACCCCGTTTTAAAACTAAACTTATTATTCGGGCCGCATCAACAATTAATAATTATAATTTCATTAAGGCGAGACCAACTTGATTCTGTGGTTTACATTACCCTCCTCTCCCTCCGGAGGAGGGGAGGGAGTGATTTGTGGTTTCAAATCAAAATATAATAAAATTACGGCTGTCCTGTCCGCACCAAAGTATTTAATTGGTTAGAACTAAATTGTATGGCTTATAACTTTAATTAACAGGTTCTGATCAACTTTTAACGATAATAAAATTACCCGCTAACACGAGTATCCTGAGTACAAGTATCTAATTGGTTATAACTAATAAATGCATGACTCATGACTTAAAATTGTCAGTACGTAAAATGGCGATTATCAACATCAACATAAATTTAAAGAACTTTTTACTTGGCCCTTTTCTATTAACTTCCCTCCAAATGTTAAAATCTTGATTTTTAATATCTAGCTTTTTTAATATCCGCATTTATTCATGTAATATGTTTATTATAAAGTCGAATTTATATTCGAGTCTTTTTTGTATTTCTTGATAGTTTTTTTCATAAATTTCGTACAACCTAAACACACCAGACATGTTGGGTAAGTATTCAAACAAAAATTTAATATTGAATGTGTCGATATTATTTTAGCGTGTATTAAAAATCCAATGATAGTTAACAAAATTAAGTATATGCGTGGATTTAAGGAATTGTGTTATGATTAGGATAGAATCCTTTCCTAATGTTTATTTATTTTATTTATTTTAGAATCGATTTATGATTGATAAAAGGGCTTTAACAACATTCTATAAGAAAACAATATTTAACGCATATTGAATTCGGGCCTTTACTAAGATAAATAAAACATAAAAAATTGCGATTGTACTAATAATACTAACTAAGATAAACTCTATACCATTGTCATTATTTAGATATATTAACACGAAAGTCATTAAAGGGAGGTTGTTTTCTCATCTAAGGGTGTTCAACCTATCCTTATCTTTGCCCAGAGAGGCATTCCTTATATACATTTTTCTTTATCCTGATAGTTCGAAACTTTTACCCGGTGGTTTCTAACTCTGCATCCGTTAGTTTCTAACTTTCTACTTTCCTTTCTGTAGTTATTAACTCTTCTACTGGTTATTATCCAACTCTAATAGTTCGAAGCTATCGATAAATCCAATTTCAAACCCTTAAAGATACAAAATAAGAGATATGGCAATTTTTATTGAATTTCCATTTCGGGCATAACATCGTACACAAATCTTGGTTTGATTCGACCTACTTTCTTGATTCTCATGACATAATGATCTACATTTTTGTTAATTAACTTGCCCTATAAAAAGGGTTGTATTATATATTGTATAATATTTGACAATCCTTTTTATAGGGTTGTCCAAAGGCGGAGCTATAATACATCCGATGCCTGTGTTAACAAATTCTGAATTTTGTGTTTGTTGCATAGATCATTTTCTTAATTTTTAATGTGTTGAGTTTTACTTTATTAAAAAAGTATAAAGGTTCCATTTTATATTTAATCAGAATATTTTATTATCAGTAATTGGTATTACACTAATCATATTTAATTATTAATTTGCAGACCACCTATTTTTAGTTACAATACTGTTAAACCTTTCATTTATATTCAATTTATTCATATCGATTTAGCGATCTATATATTTTCTAAAACTGCTCTACGAGATTTACAAACTAAGTCAGTTGATGAAATCATGCGAAACTCTCTATATTGTAACAAAATAAATGAAGAAGTTTTCAAGATTAGGTCGTAATGATAAACCTAATCAAAAGCTTTATGATACATATAATGTAAGAATTGGCATATATAATCATAAATATCGTTGTCTACATTCCTGATTTTAGTGCGACAGCATTTACCTTATAATGATAAAATTATCTTACATGTAAAAATATATACCGGTCATTGCCGAAATCAATAACTTAATCGAATCAGCCGAAAAATCATTCGGTAAATTTTTTTATTATAGCTGTTTTCATAATTCCTGGGACACTTGTATCAAATAAAATACAGGATTTTGTTAATTTGCGATATAACCATACACTTCGTTAAATTGTAGAATATTGTTGTTTATGTTCCTAGCTTTTAGTGCATCTCGCAACTAAATTAATTTGAAACAATTTTAATTTTCAACACTAGCGATCTAATAATCATAAGGAAAATTAGGACATTTTTATAACCACTTGGCTAAACAAAACAAGTTCTAGTACACTAATTGGATGTTATATTAAAGAATTTGGAATTTGACAAGAAATTTTTGGAATTGTGACTTTTTGTGTGATAGTTTTTTAAAAAATGATGAATTTAAGATTTTCGCGATCATCTGCCGATCACACTA